ACTATGCGGCCGACGAGCTGTCACAAGCTGCGCTCCCGGGAGAATGGAGACTCCATCCCCAGATGGTCCAGCTGATTTGGACACGTTTCGAAGCCGCTCAGGTGGACCTGTTTGCCTCTCCAGAAATGTCCCACTGCCAGCTGTTCTACTCCCTGACCGAGGGAACACTTGGCACGGACACGCTGGCACACAGCTGGCCGCGGTGCCTGCGCAAATATGCGTTTCCCCCAGTGAGCCTACTTGCACAGACCCAACGTACCCCCTTCAGGGATCAGGTAGTGAACCTGCAAGCGCTGCCCCTGGAGGAGGCAAACCCAGCCCTAGCTTTGCTCTGTTCCATCCGCGCCTTAAGATGGTACGTGGACCAGACACAAAGCTTCAGTACCTCAGAACAGCTCTATGTCTGTTATGGAGGCCGGCAGAAGGGGAATGCCGTCTCCAAGCAGAGGATGGCCCACTGGATAGTGGATGCCATCACCCTGGCTTATCAGGCACAGGGTGTGCCCTCAAATGGGTAGAAGCACTGAAACTAAAAGCACTAAAATTGCTCCAGAATGTCCATACTGTAGACCTTGTCGAGTTCCTGCATCACTCTCAGCAGCCAGACGTGGCGGAGCGTCTGGTGCCAGGCCCTCACTTGATGAATCCATGAGAAGTGGTAGAGGGCTGGGTGCCATATGTAGTGATCTAAGTGGATCCCATATGTGTATTCTCCACGGTATAGTTTGAAGCCTGTGTTTCCCGGTAAACTTCTCTGCCATTCCTACAAGAGGGTTACAACCACCTCTAAATTTTCCATATGTACCTCAACAGTTATCCATATGTGTAAGTGCTTACGAAACCTCCTTTGGGAAGGATGGGGCTCCGCGGCGTCCCTGTTCCAAATAGGATGAGTACATTTTCCCAGTGTTATCCAATCTCACTGAGTGGGTAGTGCTAAAACAACAGTGACTGGCCTTTCTGCTGCGAGGCCTGGACTTTACCCCAAGGGGCGCAGGAGATTTGCACAGGACACTGGAAGGGGTAGCATCCGTGGCACTTTGGTAGGGATTCCTAGTTCGTCGGTCATCAACGTGACGTCAAAAGTGACCGACTGAAAGGGAACGTCTTGGTTACATATGTAACCATCGTTCCCTGAAGGAGGGAACGGAGATGTCACGTCCCTTCGCCACAACTGTTGTACCACCGCTGAGTGGCCGGGTCCCCGGCTCGGCTCCTCAGCGAAAACCTGAGTATGCGTTGCACCTGTTGTCTACTTATACTCGCGCTGTGATCAGCGGCAGCTGGATGCAATCATCGCATGCCAATGTGCATTGGCTTGTTTAGTTTACACTCAAAGTAGATTGGCCTCTCTAGTGAGACTCCCAGTTCGTCAGTCATTGACGTGAAGTCTCCGTTCCTGAATTCAGGGAACGAGGGTTACATACGTAACCGAGATGTTTTGTTTTCTTCCACCTCCATTTTCTGGGCTGCTCTCTTTATGGCGCAAGTGTGCTCGTTATACCACGGTGTCGGACTGTTTTCCTTAATCTTCCTTAAGTGTAAAGGAGCAACTATATCTAAAATGCTAGAAAAGAGAGTCCATTGTTTCTGTTACATAATCAAGTTTTCCTAAGCTATTGGATATGCTGAGGAATTGAGATAAGTCAAGAAGATTACTTACAAAGCAGTCTTTTGTGGTAGAAGTGATGGTTCTACCATATTTGTAACAAGGAGTTGAATTTACAGCTTTAGCTATATGGATTACACATGAGACAAGATAATGATCTGAGATATCATTGCTCTGCTGCAGAATTTCAACGCCATTAACATCAATTCCATGTGACAGTATTAAATCTAGAGTATGATTTCGACAATGAGTAGGTCCTGACACGTGTTGTCTGGGTGCGTCACTGAGTGGGGAGAACCTGTTTGATGTTTTGACTGAAAAAAGCGTGCTGAAACAGAATGATTTGTCATTTATTATTAGATCCGATGGCTGGTATTCATATTACTGTGCATATTTTTCTCTTAAAGTTGAAAAGCACTTAAGACATGCAGAATACCACTTTGATGATAAGAGTTTTTTGAAGGGCTCATCACAGAAGGTATCAAAGTTGTTAAAGCTGCTGCCCAAAAGAAAACTGAAACTGCAGGACAGTGTTTTGTATAAACATCCTCATATTTCCCCTCATTTCCTCATACTCATACCTCTTTGTTTTGGGTTGAATTACTAAAACTAAGATGTGAATAAGTACAGAGATAATAACAACGGTATTTAACATTACCAAAACAATTTCAAGAATTTTCTCTTTGGATGAAAGAAACTGGTTTTACTGATTTCTGTTGAACCGGTTGAATTACAGTACATTGTTTGGTTCTTGACTTACGGAATTATGCAATTACTGATATTCATATTCTTTTGCATATTTTTCTGCTAAAATGCTGGCAAACTAGACTCTTCGAGTCGAAAACACTTAAAGCATGCAGAATACCACTTTGATTGCGAGCGTTTTTTTGAAGGTTCGGGACTTTGTCACAAAAGGTTTCAAAGATGTTAAAGCCTGCTCAAGAGAAGAACTATGAAATAGCAAGAGAGTGATTGGATGAGTCTCTACATACTTTAGTTTACAACAATTTTTCCAGTAAAAGATTTGATCTAAAAACACCTTCATATTTTTCCTCATTCCCTCATACATAATACCCCCTTGTTTGATGTTGAAACTAAGAGGTGGACAGGCCCAGATATAACAACAATATGATCCTACTGTCCCTAGCAGACAGCACAGAATCCTCTTCAGGCTGCTGTAAGGTATAATAGACATTTCATGATATTTATCTTATTTGCCTTTAAGATTGTGATTATGCATTTTTTGTATGTTTTTTATTTTATTTTCCTTTTTCTTTTTCAGATTAAGCCATAATGACGCAAAGTTCACTCCATACAGTTATCGTCCTTTTTGTCATTCTGCACAGTGAAGTAGGAACTCTGGCTTTCAAGTTTATGCTAACTAGATCCATTACCCACCAAGATATAACAGAAAAAGCTATTTTACAAACAACAGCAGAAGTCTGTAAGACTCAGGCACTTCAACAAGGAAGAGATTTTGTCCAGGTGAGCAAGGAAAGGAATCTTTATTTTGTTGTGGCTATATAGATCAGTTTGAGGACATACATTAGTTACTACATTAGAAATACATGTTATGACAATATATTGTAACTGATTGTATGTAATCTGGATTATGTAACCAGATTCCAAAAATTAAATACTTGTAATTGGATTATATTGCATTTTAAAATACTCATAACCACATTGCATAATATGATTATATATTATTCACACAATGTCAGTAAATTATTTATAATTTATTTTTTCACTTTTAAATGTAAACTTAAATTCACCCGCAATGCAAACTGTGAAATACTATGTCTTTATATCCATAATCCATGTAACTTGCACTAATTCTCTAACAGAATGTTATTTTAACAACATAAATTATTAAACACAGCAGCATTGTGTAGGTAACTATAAAGTTTACTCTGTTCTTCTTCCAGTTCACTGGCCACTTACTTTCATGTATTTCGAGAGAAATGGGTGTATTTACGTGATGTTAATCCGACAGATCCACACGACAGCGTCCAGCACACATTATAGATCAACTAACATGGTCATTAAGGTTGTTTAAACGATGAAATTAATTTACACATATTTGACAACATTGTATCATATATGATATAATTAACAAGTTTGTGGATATTGTTATATATTGTATTGACAACTCATCAGTTAAATATTTACGATCTTATATTCTGCATAACTGGATGTTTTTAAATAAACACTGACAAAAACTATGGAAGTTTTTGGGCTGGACGATAAGACGATATAGATAACATTGATATAAGTGATCACCCAGATTTAGACCAACCTGTTTTGTATTTAAATAAAGCGTTCACAGGCATATTTGCTTTATGTATTTCCCCGGCGTCGCAGTCAGGCACATTTAAATGTCAGGAAACACGATTCCTGGCTACATGTCAATATCATGGACCACTGGATTTTTCGCCTTTTCTACGAGTTAAAACACCAAGAGAAGCAGGCCACTGATTAAACCCACTGCCTGTCACTCAATAAAAGAATCACATTACTGGGTGTTTTTGAAAGTTTTGATTTTGTTTGCTTTAATTATTAACATCACCTTTGTGAGTATGATCTCACTCGGCTTGTGAATTAGCACAACTTGAACAGGGACTTTCTAAAAGGCTTAAACACGAATAACGCTTCATGTGGCTTAATGTACCAAGACAGTAATAAAGACAAAATTGTAAAGCACATACTATGTGCAGATACGCATATGAGCCCAAAATGTGAACGCAACACGTTTATTTACATGATAAGCGTTTTCCTCTCATATAAAGAAAACACTTAATGCACCGATACAGTGATATTATTATTATAAATTATAATAAATAGTAAGTAAATGTTGCTGTGGCTCAGTGGTAGAGCATTGCGTTAGCAGCGCAAAGGTTGTGGGTTCAATTCCCAGGGAACACACATACTGGTAAAAAATGTATAGCCTGAATGCACTGCAAGTTGCTTTGGATAAAAGCATCTGCTAAATGCATAAATTTAATTTAATTTTAATTTAAGTAAATAATCATAACTAAAGCACATATGAAAGCACGTATTTCTGTACATTTCAAAATAAGGTGCATTAAAAGTCAACAAATCCTTGATTAATACTGGTTGTGCTAGAATTTTTTTTTTACAAACTTTCTTGCACTTGCAAGTTCATGACATAAGTCAGTCTGCTGACGTCTGCCCACACCATCTGTTATTTTAATGGAAGTTTACTAATATATACAGTGTGTATACAATACAGATCGAGTATTTTCTGTTTCAGCCAAGCGTACTGACAGTTGAGTCTCTGACAGAAGCTTGCTCATCTCCTACATCAGCTAAAGGTTTCCAACAAGCCATTAATACAGTTTGTGATAGTAATGCCAGGATTGATATATATCACATGTTGGATGCAGAATACCACTTCGATAACGAGAGTTTTTTGGAGGGCTGGAAGCTTATCAAAGATGGTGTCGCAGCTGTTAAAACTGCTGCAAAAGAGAAGAACTACGAAACGGCAAGAGAGCGGTTGGGTGAGATTCTGCACACTATACAGGTGTGTCATTACAAAGAGCCTTTTTACTTTTGTACACAAGGACATCAGTACACAATTATCACAGAACTGATACAATAATGCAACAATCTAATTATTTAATATTGTTAATAAGATTGTTAATAATGAATTATTATTATTCAAATATTTTAATCCTGCACCTCAAAATATCTTAAATGTTTATGTGCAGAATTTCAATTTAATTGTAATCCAGAAATTATTTTTAAAATGAGACAAAACATTAAAAAAAAACAATAGGGTTGAACAAAGCAGCAGAACCCAATCAACCAAGTCAATAAGAATCGATTGATAAAAGGGATAGACCAGTTTAGATAAGGGGATGTAAAATAATTTCAATATGATATTTTCCATAACTAATTAATTAGATTAACACATTAAATCGACAGCCCTAATTTAGCTATGCATGTAAGGAATAATTGACGACGGGCTGTTGAATTATTAGAAAATAATGCACACCCGAGGTGGTGATGCGGCCACAATGCGAAGCGGAGTTACACCTCAGGTGTGCATTATTTTCTAATAATTCAACGTAACGGAGTCAATTATTCCGCTTATACTACGGTTACCACACCTCAAGACATTTTTCAGATTATGTATTTCAAGACATTCATCAGGTTTTTGTCGTTAAAGCAAAGAGTATAATTTCATTAAAAAAAATTAATTTAATATTTCCATATTAAAATAAATAATGAAAATAAAAATCCATATTAATAAAAACACTAATTAAAGGGATAGTTTGCTCAAAAAAAAAAATCTGAAGATATTTTTTGTTATGTCTATTTGACACTTTTCACATTTAACACAATAATGGCTTTAAATTATAATTTAAATTGAGGGTAATTTCTGAGCCAGATTTATGTGTGATTAATTTATACTGTAAATGTGTAAACACAACAATTTTTGTCACTGTCCTCCTTGTATGACTTTACAGGATTTCTACAGTCACAGCAACTGGATAGAACTGGGGAATCGATTTCCATACTCCAACCTGATCAGACCTGATAGACAAATAGAAAATATTGCAGGTATGGCAAAAATTTTATGTGGCATTATGTCTTTTTCTGTTTTATGCATTTCATGTCTTCATACTTGTCAAACCAAAAAAGCTGTTTTTAATGGTACATTTTCAATCAAGTTGTTGAAATTATTCCCTGGTCTGACTGAACTGATCTCAAACTAATTGAAGTCAGTCTCGATAGGTATAATCCACATGATTGATTAGTAAGTTAATCAGTCATTGAATGGAAAGCCACTATAAATCCACTAAAAAAAGGCTAGATGAATAACATGTCTCAACAACATTTATTCCAGTTTTTAAAAATACAGCTTCAAGTTTTCAAGATGAAGAAGAAATTCAGAACATCAAATCCAATATTCTAACATTCAAAACACAGAAATTCATATCGTACAGAAAGTAGGGCTGTGTCTGAAATCGCCCCCTATACCCTCAAATAGGGCACTATTTGAGGGGACAGCCATTTTTAGTGGTGTCCGAAATCTTAGTGGACATCAAGTGCACTCATTCAATCCCACAATGCACAGCAATAATGAGTGTACTGATGTATGCTCAATGTCTAGAGAATACCCATAATGCACTGTTAGTTGCGTCCCAAACAACTATAAGCCTATATGGATTCCCAGCGGTTGGGTTGTTTTGACCCAGCGGTTGGGTTGTTTTGACCCCAGCTATTGGGTTGTTTTGACCCAGCGGTTGGGTTGTTTTGACCCAGCGGTTTACAATTGCTACCCATTAAATTACAAACTTGCTCAATTTAATAATAGTATTTCCCCCAATTGTTCTTTTTGTCGTCACTCTTAAGAAACATTCAATAATTTATTTTGGGATTGTGCTTATTGTAAAGTGTTCTGGGTTGATTTTTCCAATTTTGTTAAAAATATTTACATTCAAACATCTCTATAACCCAAAAATTTTATTTTTTGGTTACACCTTTGAATCTAGACCCTTCTCGCTTTAAATTTATTATTAATTTAAATTGATAATTTCTTGCCAAATAGTACATTCATAACTGTACATTTTCAAAAAACTCCTTGTTTGTTTTCAGGAAAGATTTTGATGTTTATGTAAACACTTTAAGAGATTCTAATAATGCTATTGCATGGAATATTTCATGGTGGGATTCTTATAAGCTAACATAGTATGCCTTGGTTTAATGTATGTAACCCTCATTGTCTTGTGGCCACAACATATCACGTTCCCACAAGTTCCACGAAAACTAAGTGAACCGAACATGTCTCCTCCCGGTCACTGTATTAACTGGCCAAAATGCTTCGTTCGACTTTTCGGAGACCATCTACTCTTCCATGCGGATGACCTCTGACCTACTTTCTGTACGATCTGAATTTCTGCGTATTGAATTTTAGAATATTGAATTTGATGTTCCGAATTTCCTCTTTATCTTGAAAACTTGAAGCTGTATTTTTAAAAACTGGATATTTGCAGTCTAAGAATTCAGAACCAAACATCCGCTGTTTGAAAATGCATGTCTATAAAACAATAAAAAAAATAAAAAAATAAAATAAAAATTTTAATTGTGCTAAATCTCAAATGTTCGGTATTCAAGTAAAAAAAATCAAATTCAGAACTTAAATGCTACATAATATTTATTAATATTTAATATTTTATAAAAATTTAATATTTAATATGTTTTGTTAAATGACACGTCAATAATTGAAATTCAAATAGTTTTGTCATATTTTAAGCTCCATATATCTCAGGGATGTGCACAGAGGGATGGCTACAATGGCAGAGAATTTTTGGTATAAAGCAGGATTTTTTTTGTATAAAAGTATAAACTTTTAACATGCCCCAAAGCAAAATACTCTGACAAAACCAAAAAACAATCCCACACAGTCATTTCTGTCTGTATCAGCAGTTCATTAATATCAAGGTCGCACACTATTCAGAATTTAATTCAAGAATAACAAATAAAAAGTAATAAATAAGAATGTTTTTCAATCCTGATTCAAATCTTACATTTGAATTGTGCTACAAGATACTGGATTGCATTATAAAGCTTGAAATGTCACCAATAGAATTTTGTGTTTCATTTGTATACACTTCTTTATAGTTGAACAAATCTATGGACCCCGGAATAACACATCCTGGAATGTCATTCAGGGAATAATGGAATTGAATTTCTTACTGAATTGCCCTTTTCGTATTTCTAATTCAAACTTTCTGTGAGGTGTAACCAATTCAATTCAAATTCCATTTCCTAAATTGAAAGGGAGTCAATTCATACAAATTTACCCAACTCTGATTATTATTACAAATATTGGTTCAGTTCAACTCTAATTGGATTTATATATTTAAAGGAGACAGACCTACTTGTAGAAACTGTGATGATAACTGTAGCGACAACATCCTGAAAGACATCATGGATGAGAAAAAACTGACATCAGGATACTTTGGATTGAAAAAGCCAACTGGTACTGAATTCATACTATCACCTAATTCAAAGAAACAAATGCATAACGTTGGTTCACACTAATAAATCTGTTTTGAATATTGCAGGGAAATGTAGCCATGGAGATTTCTTAGACTTTTCAAGTTTATCAGAACCTAGAGGTGGAATCAATAAAGATACACACTCATCCAGCCATGGTGACCTTCATGAGGCTGCTGCAGGTGTGGCTATTGCTGCGACCAGAGAACTACTGGAGGACATTAGAGGTTTCCTGGGAGACTCTAACTTTTTGAGGTTGGCCTACTAAAAAGATTTTTTTCATGCCTGCTGATTGAATGAATCACTACATCTGTTATTCAGAGATTGCTGAGTACTGTTGACCATAGGCCACAATAATGTAATGTCGTTGAATTAAAATAATGTGGGGTTTTACATGTAATGCAACCAGTTTTTACACGAATTTAAGATGTATTTCTTTTCTCTTTTTGGGTCACTTGCTCTTAGACTGATGGGATTCTCTCAGAGTTCAGTTCTTTGCTTTGCTATTGATACCACAGGCAGCATGGGTGATGACATTGATGAAGTACGACGAGTCACTTCTGACACCACAGACAGAATGAGAGACATTGTGTCAGAGTACATTCTGGTGCCATTTAATGACCCTGGTTAGAGACATTTTTATTAATTGTTTCTTAATTTCACTGAGAATATGTGTGTACCTTCACAGACATTACAGACATCTGAACTCAAGATTACTTAAAACTACTAATTATGCTTGGAAACATGATATTATTATTATTTAATAACTGACCCTTTTACACTCCCAAAGACTTTGGACCACTAATAAGAACAACAGATCCTGATGAGTTCAAATTACAGATTAATGCCCTTCAACCCTATGGTGGAGGAGACACACCAGAGCTCTGCCTCTCAGGACTCCGGGTATGAGAACATCAATGAGTGTGTTGCTTTAATTATTTAAATCTACTCGTGTCCTATACAACATACATCTATTTATTTATGTAATTTTTCCAGCTGGCTCTGACTGGCTCACCTCCCCAGACTAAGATATTTGTTTTCACGGATGCGGATGCAAAGGACAAAGAGTTAAAAAGCACTGTGTTGGCACTGATTGAAAGCACAAAGTCTGTAGTACGTATTACAAGTTTCTTTTCATATTATGGACATTTTGCCAATTAAACAAGCTGCATGCCTGCATCACACATTAATACACAGCATTAAGTTATATTACCCGATAGCATCTCCTGTCCGTGAGTACTAATATGGATGTTATTCATATGCATGTTCAAAATTCAGAAATGTTTCTGGAAAATCTCATTATGTTCTAGTATTTTCTTGAAAACCAAAAACCTTTTCTTTCCTATTTTCACAAACTTTAGTCAGTCAATAAGTCACATTTTCTCTTCTACTTTTTATAGGTGAACTTCATGTTGACTAATGGTCTTGGTGCTCGTCGGAGAAGGAGTGAGGATCTGAATCAAGGACAGAATCAGCATTACTCCACCAGGATCTCCAATCCCTCAAATCAGCTTTATGAGGATTTAGCGCTGGCCTCTGGAGGGCAGGCGATTGAAGTTACCAAAGCAACACTTCCTCAAGCCACCAGAATTATAGTGGATGCCTCCACATCTTCTCTAGTAATGAAATCATCATCTCAAACCATTTACACAATGCAGTATTTGTGTTATTATGTATTTCTCCGTCGCATGGCTGGCAAAGAATCCTTAACGTTTTTCATTGATGAATTATCCCAAATCTAATTATGTGTCTTCAGGTAACTGTTTTCCAAGCCGTAAGGAACCCAGGAAAAGAAGAATCCTTCTCTTTCATTGTGGACGACTCACTGAAAAATATGACTATCTATATTACAGGCACTTCTCTAGTGTTCAACATCACAAGCCCATCAGGTGTATAGACAAATACCGAGACAGGTATTGCATATGGGTTATAATATTATCAGTTATCTTGAATTGCATTACTTACCTCCACAGGCGATTCTCAGACCAATGAAGGATTAAACGGAAAACTAGGGTTGGTTGAGCATGTTGGCAACTTTTACACAGTGCGTCTGACTATACTTGATCAAGTAGGCCTTTGGAACATCAACATTAGCTCATTACAGCCCTACACCATCAAAGTCCTTGGTAACTTTTTGGTTTTACATCTCTTTCATTTACAAATGTACACAAGGCACTAGTAGTACACCCAAAAATGAAAATTCTGTCATCGTTTACTCACCCTCATGCTGAGCCAAACCTGTCTGACTTTCTTTCTTCCGCGGATCACAAAATAAGATATTTTTGAATGTGTTGGCTTTTTTTTAATCCAAATGTCAATGGGGTCCAAAACTACATTGGACACCACTTACTTTCACAACCCAGGCTCATGGGAAAATGTGACTGGGGTGACAGTTCAGCAAAACATACATTACGGTGATTCTTGCACATATAACAACACCATAAAAGCAAAATGTCAAGTGGCACTAAAAGCATGTTGAGTTTTATTTGAAACAGATGAACGTGTCTGGAAGTGTTTTATTATGCTGATTGTTGTATCACTGCAGGTTAATGCTCTGTCGTGTTTAAAAATAACATATCACCTATACACTAAACCCTACCCTACACCTAACTGACAGTGTTAAAAAAAAGCAAATGTGAGATAAAACCGCACTTGTTGAAGCAACCGAGCCATGGTAGCATGCTTCTACAAATCTTTCATCATGGTTTGTGTTTGTCGTACCCGAGTACTCCACATTTCAACTGTAATGCTGTACCAGGTGAGCTACTGAGCATGTTTACTACTTCAGAAAAGCCATCTGTGATGCAAATGTCAAAATTATTAGTTTACAAATCATGCACTATATTAAAAGTGTTTTGATGTCACAACATAGCATTGTACACGGAACTGCTAAAAAATAAGTCTTTATCGATTGATAGTCTGCCCCGTAATCATAATTTGTGTGAAACGGCATTGTTGTTGGTGTTTTACTGCCACTACTGCTCATTTCAGCTGGAAACTACATGTGTATGTACAAAAATCTAGGCCAGTGGTCTCAAACTCAATTGCTCTGCACAGTTTAGCTCCAACCATAATCAAGCCCACCTGATCCAGCTAAGCAAGGTCTTCAGGATTACTAGAAGCTTCCAAGCAGGTGTGAGTTGGAGCTAAACTCTGCAGAGCTGTGGCCCTCCAGGAATCGAGTTTGAGACCACTGATGAAGTCAGAAGCACATTTTTCCAGTGAGCCTATAGGTTGGAATTTGAGGTTCAGAGCGACAGGATGGTGAATAAAAACAAAGACAGAATTATCATTTTTGCATGAACCATCTCTAAGAGCCATTCACTTACTGAATTACCAGGCCAAAGTGACATTGACTTCCTCTTCAACTTTGTGGAGCTAAGCGAAGGTGCTCATTCAGGCTACAGTGTATTGAGTGGCAGACTCCCAGCAAGTGAGTGAACATAAGACCAATTAGCAACTTTTTAAGCTTCTTGTATTTTCACTCTCTTTATTGTTCTTTCCCTGCTACAGACAGTAATGTTACACTGTTGCTCACCATCATGGGTGGGGACACGGTTACCCCCACAGAGGTGGCTCTTGTGGAATCATCAGGATCCCAGAGTATTAATGGAACTCTAGAAAAGATTGCAGATGGGAAATTCTTAGTCACAATGAACAGTGTCCCAGCAGGAGAATTTGTTGTCCGTGTGATGGGGGAGAGGAGTTCTTCACGGTCATCAAATGGTGGCTTTCAGAGGCAGTCCATCACTCAACACAGAGCTTCGAGTCTGGTTATTACTGTAAGATCAGGCTTTTTAACATTAGTCAACAAATACACATTTACCACCTTACTTACAACTATTAACAGCATGCATTTTTCCATACTCATACTATTCTTTCTCTATTTATACACTTAGGCCCGGACAGATGAGGTGTGGGAGCCTGGGAAGACACTGAGCATCCCTTTCACAGTGGTGAACAATAGCTCTGATGTACTCTTCAGTATTAATGCCAGGAATGACCATGGGTTTGCCACAGTATTTCCCAGCACCGTGTACGTTGGAAGTGGGAATAGTGCAAATAGCACAGTAACTATCACTGCACCCCCAAACACTCCTTCAGGCACTCAAGTGACTCTCACCATTGAGGCAGAAACATCAGCGAAAAGTGATTTCAACTATGTTGTTCTTAAGCTTACAGTTGTTTCTCCGGTAACTATCTATCTAAACTACCTATTTATGAATCATGTGGTTCAAAACAAACACACACACACACACATATATATATATATACGGGGGGTTTCCTCCGAGGAGGCAAGGGAGGCAGTGTCTCCTCAAAAAACTAGATGAGAAAATAATCGATATTACAAACATAAATCGCAAATATGACTAAATATGACAAATAAAAGTATAAAAGTCACTCGTTTTTATAAAGTAACACTGTCCCACAGCGACACACGCAGGTAAAGTTACAGCGGAGGCTTGCCTCCCTTCGGTCCATAGACTTACAACAGAGACCCCAAAGCGTGCCTTGACTTTACTGGGTTGTAATTGAGAATGAATGGGGAAAGTCACGTGAGAGGAGGCAATGCCTCCGTCGCGCTATAATTGGATATGATCGGTTATGATTGAATGTGATTGGTTCGTGATTAATCCCGCCTCTTGTTTTCGTGCGAGCTCTCGGCCTGAATGAAGAAAATGATGGCGTTTATTGACTAAATATAAAGTAAGTAAACAACTCTCCCGCTTAGATACCACTGCTTTGAGTCACGTCAAAATAAAACTTGAAATGGTCTGAAAACGTGATGACTGCGTCAGTTTTTATGAGCATGCAGCGTGATGAAATGAGAGATATATCTTCGTGTCTGTGGCAGTGTTTACAGGGCTTTTATGACGATGACCCGAAAATAAGTTGACTATTAAAAAGAACAGCTGAACATCAGTTCACAAATAAAACACATTGGTAACATTTTACAATAAGGTGTCATTTAATGTGTTAACTAACATGAACATTTATTACAGCGTTTATTATTAATCTTTGTTTACATTAGTTAATACAAATACTATTGTTCATTGTTAGTTCATGTTAGTTAACCGTGCATAAACTAGTGTTAACAAACGCAACTTTTGATTTTAATAATGCATTAGTAAATGTTGAAATGAACATAAACTAAGATTAATAAATTCTGTAGAAGTATTGTTCATTCTTAGTTCATGTTAACTAAAGTAGTTAACTAATGAACCTTATTGTAAAGTGTTACACTTTTGATTTTAATAATGCATTAGTAAATGTTGAAATTAATATTAACTAAGATTAATAAATGCTGTAGAATTATTATTCATTCTTAGTTCATGTTAAAGTAGTTAACTTATGTTAACTAATGAAACCTTATTGTAAATTGTTTCCAAAATATTGTTCAAATTGTTACTGCCTTTAGTTATTATTTTGGAATAAATATAAAAATGCATAAAAACGCAATGAAATGTATAATTAGTATTAAAAATATTAAATAAAAAAATATTAATAAAATACAAAATAGAATTATATTTGTTCTCTTTTTATGTAATGTTTAACCAGGAAAATTTATATGTATATATATATATATATATATAAAATTCACGATTTAAATGTACTATTTATTCCTGACAGTTGGGGGTCAAGAAGATTAAAATAAATAAAAATATATTATTACTTTTATTCAGCAAGGACACATTAAATTGATTAAAAGCGACAGTTAAAAATGTAAAAATGCATAAAAACGCAATGAAATGTATAATTAGTATTAAAAATATTAAATAAAAAAATATTAATAAAATACAAAATAGAATTATATTTGTTCTCTTTTTATGTAATGTTTAACCAGGAAAATTTATATGTATATATATATATATATATATAAAATTCACGATTTAAATGTACTATTTATTCCTGACAGTTGGGGGTCAAGAAGATTAAAATAAATAAAAATATATTATTACTTTTATTCAGCAAGGACACATTAAATTGATTAAAAGCGACAGTTAAAACATTTATAATGCTAATATTAAGACATCTTTATAAAAAAAAAAAACTACTATCCCCAAACTTTTAAATGCCAGTGTAAATATATTCGACCTGGTTATCTTTGACATACTATATATTTTTTTTATGTTATGTAATATTTTAATATCTGAAATAATTTCCCCTCCACAAGATTACAGACTTCACCTCTCCAGTCTGTGAGATTGTTAGCGTAAATGCTAACTGCTCAGGCAACTGTAGCCTGTCGTCATGGGAGCTCTCAGCTAACCTTACTGATGGAAATGGGACCGGTATCATGTCTTTGATTCTGCGTCAGGGCCTTGGAACCCTCAACACTACAACCATAATCGGGGAAGAAGGTGTAAACGTCACTCTTGCATTCTACAGCGCCTCTTGTTGTTCTGAAGTAATGGAACTGGTTGCTGTAGACGGAGCTGGCAATGTTGGCATATGCTTAAAATCAATAACATCTGCTGTTACTACCACACCCAACACCTCCATGTCTACCACTTCTACAACAAACAGCATGACTACAGCAACTACAGCTACAACTACAGCTACAACAACAATATCGATGACTTCCACTCCCTCCACTAATGCCACAGCCGACAGTGCTGGATGCCCTTTTGATCCACCTATCAGTTTTTGGGTTAGTGCGGGAGCCTTTCTGCTTTTCCACGTGTTATGCTTCTAACCTTTTTATATTAGTTGCCTTCACACTTCTATTCTATCACGCCTGCCAAGCATTTTTGAAATGATCAACACTGAGTCTGTGGTTTGACTTTTGCCTTTTGCAGTTGATTCCTGTATTGATTAATAAAGGTATATTAATACTTGATTATTTAATATATATAACTAAGATAATCAGTTTGGGATCTGATTTGACCTGGGCTGCGTTTCCCGAAAGCACCGTAAGCCTAAGCTGATTGTAGCTCCATTGATGACAATTGAATTGATTTTTTTAAACAGACAAATGGTGATGGTATTATAACTTACACTGACAATTTGAAATCATAAAAATCAAAAGTCTGTACACATCATACTATACTATGTCATACTATACACATCAACATGACTGGCTTTATGAAAAGAGGCAGTTTCTTGTGATTTATAGATTGATCTGTTTTTCTTTTTATACATTTTAACATGTATGACGATTATATTAAATATAACAATATTGCTTTATGGGTCGTGCATTATTGTTTTGCTGAACATAAAAGAACACATGGGTATAACTTTACTAATGCTTAAGAATACAGTTACTAATGTAGATAATCAAAATTATGTAGAGATAATATTTGAGATAATCAAAATGGTTAAAGGCTAATATTACTGTACATTGTAACATAGCTAAGAAAAGTTAGTCAACATGAAATGCTGACTGCAACTCAGTTTACTTCAGAAATCTGATGTATTTCTCAGTAAAACAGAAAAAAAATGACTTGATTTTAATCAAAAATGTCCATTTCAGAATGGAACCAGATGGTTTATAGGAAGGAGTTGATGTTGACCACCAGAAAAAGAAACCATTATTACACTTGATAAAAGACTTCTTATTTATTATTTGGAATAATGTGCACCAGTGCATCTTCCTTTCCAACGTAATCAGCCACAAGAGCACAGTAGTGTTAAAATCCATGTAATTTCATGTTTAAATGAACGGTAGGTACCAATGTGAGAATTGTCTACCTTGTGAAGTCTAGAACGGTCGTTGGTGTTTCACCAAAATGTAAATCCATCCACATCGATCGCAACCAAAAGGCTTCTCACGTGTGTGGATCCTCATATGTGTTTTGAGGTTTGAAGAACCCTTTCCCACAAAGGTTACAGCCATAAGGTTTTTCACCTGTGTGAACAGTCACATGTTTTTTGAGGTTACTTTGACCTGCGAACTGCATGCATCTGAATGATGTTTCTCCTCTGTGGATGCTACGGTGTCTTTTGAGACTAGACACCTGACTAAATCGTTTACCGCACAGTGTACAGGTATGAAGCCTCTCCCTGTTATGAAGTTTTTGATGCAAGAGGAGAGTGCTGGGTTGAGAGAACGCTTTTCCACAATGTTTACACGTAAACTTGTCTTTCTTTCCTTTGCATCTGAGGAGAGTCTGACTGATTGAAAGAAAAGCACGGCGTGAAAGAGGACCGATTGAGAAATGTCCTTACCTTCATCACCTTGTGTTAAATGGCCTTCCATATCAGGCATAGACAAGCCATTAGAGTCCATTAGTAAATGTGCATCTTCACCTATATCATTCATTTCTGGGTTTTCGTCCTCAAGGAGATCAGGTTGCATTCCACTGGACTGCCAGAGGAAAAGATCATCGATGGTGAATTTTATGATTTGAATGTTAAAAGCAATTTTTTGCAGAAAACAATTGTTTCTGTATTCTAGACATACTACCATGAAATATACAAATTGAATATGATTTGTTGGTAATACTTTACAATAAGGTCCCATTAGTTAATATTAGTTAATGCATTAAGTAAAACTGTTAGATTTTAGTTAATAAAGATACAACTGTTCATGTTAGCTTAGATCTATTAGATCCAATAATACTATACACTGACAAATAAAGCTTTGAAACAAATTTCACTCAGAAATTGCTAGTAAATTTCACAAATAATTACAAAACAAAAAACATGACATTTTGAGGCAGAAACTGAAATAATATTTTCTTGTAACAAAATACTCCAATAATCTTTATTTGCAAATTTGAAAAATCTTTTTTTACTTTAGATTTGAATAATGTATTAGTAAATTACATTAATAAATAATGGTGAATTTTATGATTTGGAAGACGTCACTTCCTGTTTGTTGCTGCTGTGTGTTTTGAGTTTGAGCTCCGTCAAGTTAATTCTTAAATCTTAAAATCAATTTTATACACCATCATTTCCGTTTCTATAACATGTGAATATATCCCCTATCGTATTCTACAACAAAAACAATCAGAGCGCCTTGTTATCTACTACTATGTACTAGTTTTATTTTGATTTCCCAAGTCGGCTATTAACTTATAGCCCGTTAGCATTGCCAGCGTGGTTGCCGCTAATCTCGCTTACATTGCTAATACTCTATTCACACACATTACCATTGTTTTACTCACTGTTACTTGCTTTAATGGCGGATGTGTGTCTACCTTTGAGTGCAGGTGAGGATACGTTCGAGCTGGAGGCCGTGGAGAAGCAGATCCGCGATCCGCTGCTAACTCTCCCACCACCTCTACTCCGTGTGTTTCTCTGCACAGGCCCGGTGCACCCAGGACGCGATCTTTCCAGATGTCCTTCAGTCCGGCACCAGGACACCACCACCCTGGGTGCAGCACCCGCAGCGGAAGACGCGAGCCAGGCCCCGGGCGACGACCTCTCCCCCTCCGCCGCCTCCGGTCTTCGAGAT